ACAAGGATGGAAACAGGGAGAGACTGGTTTGGAAGAGATTGCAGTAATCTATAGGCAGCTACAATTTCAATAACTTGGGGAGAAGAGCAGGAATAAAAGGAAGCTGAGGAGTGACTGGTGAGATAGGAAAACCAAGAGTATGTGAAGTCGGCAAACAGAGTATTAGCAGGAGTCCAGTGATCCGTCAACTCTGTCAGGTGTTGCTGACAGTTCAAAACTTGCAATTTAAATACAAACAAAACCACAGAACCATTGAAATTCAAATTACTGATTCAGTAAAATATTGGATACTGTTGGCTGAATTTTAGTCTTGAAACTGCACTTATGGGGTTGACTTACGGTTACAAAATTGACTGTTACCAGGCAGGTTCTTTTTGAGTTAAGCATACCTTAATTGCCCTGTATCATGTGGTCGTATGAAATCTTAATTTTTTCACTGACATATAAGTGCTTTAGTGGAAACCATGGTGGCATTTTGCGTCACACAAATGAATTATTTATGTGTTAGATCTACCTCAGTTTTTCTCTTTAGCTTGTGTAATTAGAGTACTATAGGACCAACTTAGAGCCCGTGTGGCCATAAATATGAATAGAGGCATTTAATTACATGGCTAGCAGGTGTATTCAGATGATTCAGAATGTGCTGATATGTTTTTTAGACTATTAAAAACACAAAAGTAAAATATTAAATTTTTAGAGAAATGTGAACCCCTTGTGAAACTCCTTAGTTTGAGGGAAATTAGTATAGGTTGTTAATTCTTGTGTTACATCCTTAGTTGAAGTAACTAAAATGGTTTGGCTAGAGTTTCAGGTGGTACTGCTTTTGTCAACACAGATTGTAACTATTTCAGCTGAATATAATTGAATTTTAATAAGGCTCCATGATTTTTTAAAAGATGGCATTTCTTTCCTGTAAATTCTGTTACTTCTATTTTACTGGTAAAGAGTCATCAGTCAAAATGTATTGGACTTACTAATGTGACTTTTTGCCCTGTTTCTTTAATTCCTTTAGTCTTCCTAGCAATATGCTCTTTTATGCTTAGTGTAGTATCACAAACTCTATAGATTACTGCTAATTTTGATCTGCTGTAAAAATTTTTTTCTGTGTGTGTGTGTGTACATGCTTACCTGCCAGATTTGTCAGATGGAATGTGAAGTTGAATGTGTTGTATGGTAGAGTGTAGAACTAGGTACCATGAATTTTATAAGTAAGGTTTTAAAAAGCACAGCTTAAATGCCAAGATGGAGTATAAGAGCAAGTGTGCACTGGAATGTTTGAGAATTTTGTATCCTGAGAGAATATAAAACATAAGGTAGTAAATGGTTGTATTCAGATAACTAAGTAAGTAGTATTTGAATGCTTTTATCTAGACACTGAGACTTGGTTATATTGCAGATTAGTTCGTAATCAAGACTGACATAGTTTCAATAATTTTAATTTCAGGTGTGTTGCTAAGAAGTTTTAAGGTTATTTAAATTTTTTTAGTAATGTGTGGTATGAAATAAAAAGTTGAAAAAGCCTGTTTGACCCTCTGCCTGGTTCTATTGCTCTTTGCTCTTTCGTCTCCATGGTACTCACTTTGCTTTGATTTCATATCTAATAATTTAATGGCAGACTTAGAATATGTGATTCTGTCACTTTGATGGAAAGTAAAGGTTTAATTTAAAGACTTTAGGAAGTTTATTTTCTTGACAACTTTTTGTAAATATGGAAAAGATGTTTTGAATGCTAAATTAAATATTTCATACCAGGGTGAGTAAGGAGAACATACATACTGTCTTTTAGGGTTATTCAAAAGAAGATGAGATTCGAGACAGCAAAACATCTGGCTGTGCTCGTATTTATTTCAAGGCACTGTATTGCCCAGGCTGGAGTGCAGTAGCTGTTCACAGACACAATCATGGGCTCACATGATCCTCCCTCTTCAGCCTCTTGAGTAGCTGAGACTACAGGCATGTGCCAGCTTGCTCTTACTCGTTTTTTGTTTTTTGTTTTTTGTTTTTTTGAGATGGAGTTTCACTCATGTTGCCCAGACTGGAGTGCAATGGTGCAATCTTGCTCACTGCAACCTCCCCCTCCCGGGTTTAAGCGATTCTTGTGCCTCAGCCTCCTGAGTAGCTGGGATTACAGGCACCTGCCACCACACCTGGCTGATTTTGGTATTTTTAGTAGAGGCAAGTTTTCACCACGTTGGCCAGGCCGATCTCAAACTCCTGACCTCAAGTGATCCCGCCAGCCTTGACCTTCCAAAGTTGTTGGGATTACAGGTGGGAGCCACCACACCTGGCCTTGAAATCTATTAAGTAAGGTGGGGATAAATGTCTAACTTTGGTCTTTGGAAAGGTTAAATGAGAACATATGTAAACCACTGAGGAGTATACCTGGCACTTAGTAGGTGCTTAATACATGTTTGGGGCAATTCTTCATTAATGAGAATAAAGGGAAGCCTCCACTTTGCCTCTGTGTTTAGACAACCAACAATCAAGGTCCAAGGAAAGATGTGAAAATTAAGCATGAAAACTTATATAGAGGGAGTTAAGAAGTTACAAGAGTAATGTAATCAAAATTTATGTGGCTCTTCCTACTTAAGGGAAAGGGAAGGGAGTGGCCATTCTTGCCATCAGTCTCTGTTCACTTGCTGGAGGTTGAGGATACCTGTATATTTTGGAAAATGCTTTAGCATATCAGAAAGTTATCTGCAAAGGGTTGAGAATGAAAATGGCATTAGGCTTTTCACCTACATCACTGAATAGCAGAAGACAGTGGGCATAGTTTACTTAGTTCTTAGGGAAGAGGGGTTGTGACCAGGATTCAAAGCTGCAGAATTTATGCAAGAGCTTCAGACTTAGACTAAGATGGAGAGTTAATCACTTTCGTAATCCTTTCAGAAACTTTCTTTGAAGTATTGTGATTACACCACAAAATTAAGGATTCAAGGGTAGTTAGGTTTGATTAATTGCTTTGACAAAGTTAGGAGTTTAGTACAATCTTTATTGTGCCTGGTGGGAAAGGGAAAGTTTTCCTATTGGCATGCTGAAGGGCTTGCATTGTTTTGGGGGGGGGGGGGGATGTTACACTTTATTTTATTCTTTCCCAGACAGAGTCTCACTCTGTTGCACAGACATAGCTCATTGCAGCCTTTACGTCCCAGACTCAGATGAGCCTCCCACCTCAGCCTCCCAAGTAGCTGGCTCTACAGCGGATGCCACCACACCCAGCTAATTTTTTTGTATTTTTTTTTGTAGAGATGAGGTCTCAGTATATTGCCTAGGCTGGTCTCAAATTCCTGGGCTCAAGTGATCCTCCCAAAGTGCTGGGATTACAGGTATGAGCCACCAAACCCCATGTATATGCTAATGTTTAGCTTGGTTGGAAGCCTCAAAATAAAATGATTTAGCAAGGGGTTGTATTTTGCTTTAACGCATTTAAGTCGGGATTTGCCTTTCCTTTGTCTTCTGTTGACAGCAGTTTTCCTGGGTTTCCCTCATCTCCAGTAATCAATCTGTCTAGACCTATTAGTAACTTCTTCTGTAGCTGCAAAGTTTTCAGAATTATCTTCAGGAAAAATGGAGGTTTTAGGAAAAACATACAGTTTTTAAATCATTTTATTGCTTTGCTACAGTTCTGGAAACTATAGATTGTTTATTGTCCTCATTATCTTATAACAGTGCTTGAGTTTTTAACTTTTGGCATTTTTAACTCGTTGAATTTTTAAGAGACTTGCCTTAATATTGTCATTGTGTGAGAAGCAAATAAATCTTAAAATAGAAGCAGTGTTTAATTAACGTAAATTTAACGTAAAACATTTTCTACATAATACCTGCCACAATGTCAGATGAGTTTGGAAAGCACCCTTTTAACCAAAAGGCATTCTGGGAACAAGAAAAACCTTAGTGTTTTGAATGGAGGAGTTTTATTTAATTAAGATTTCTAATGGAAAGAGCAAATTTGTAATCTGATACCTGTACTTTATATTTTATTGTTTCTAAGAATAATTTTTTTGTTACTAGAGGTGGGGTAGTGATAATCGCATCCTATCCTTATTTATTTATTTTTTTTGAGACGGAGTCTTGCTCTGTCGCCCAGGCTGGAGTACAGTGGCACGATCTTGGCTCACTGCAGCCTCCACTTCCCAGGTTCAAGTGATTCTTCCGCCTCAGCCTCCCTTAGCTGGGATTACAGGTACACGCCACCATGCCCAGCTAATTTTTGTATTTTCTTTGTAGAGACAAAGTATCACCATGTTGGCCAGGATGGTCTTGAACTGCTGACCTCAGGTGATCCACCCACCTCAGCCTCCCAAAGTGCTGGGATTACAGGCATGAGCCACCATGCCCGGCTCTTTTTTGTTGTTTTATACTAAATTAAGAATAAACATGTTTTATTTTTTGCTCATTTTGACTGTTTTCATAGTTGTTAATCAGACTTTATAAAGCAGTTTATTGTCCCCTTTGGAGAAAAGATAGCTAAAAATCACCGGTATCCTCATACATAATTAAGTAGAGGGGCCTGTCTATAGATGAGTGGTTTTCAGAGTGTGCTGTAAGGCTCTGTACAGATCTTTTGGAGTCTGGTAAACAGTGAAATATTTTTTGCTTGAGAAATAATCAGTCATCTTTTTGTTGTATACATTTTGGTTCTCTCATAGTTCTGTGGAAGTTTCTCTAAAATATATGAAATTTTCTTCTCTAGGGAAATTTAAGACCTGTTGAATGAATAAATATTAGAAAATAAAAATACAGACCGGGCACAGTGGCTCAGCACTTCGGGAGGCCAAGCAGGCAGATTGCTTCAGTCCAGGAGTTCGAGACCAACCTGGGCAACATGGGGACTCCCTGTCTCTACAAAAAATACAAAGAAAATTAGCGAGAGTGGTGGTGCCAGCCTGTGGTCTTAGCTACTGGGGAGATTGAGGTGGGAGGATTGCTGGAGCCCAGAAGACCCAGGCTGCAGTGAGTGTAGATTGTGCCACTGCACTCAGACCTGGGCAACAGTGAGACCCTGTCTCAAGAAAAAAGAAAAAAAAATAGTTCTGGCACGACTGTGTCTATTTTCAATTATATTTCTTTTCCTAATGTTTTGTGTAGCCTGTATTGTAAAATGAGGTTGAGGTGATTGGACACACTGTTAATAGAGTGAGGAAGTGGGTAGAGTTAAAATTTCTTGCTGAAAGTGGGTAATCTGCAGTTCCTTGCATTGGGTTCACTCCTCCCTGCCAGCTCTTGCTGCATTTGGAGGCTGCCCTAAGCATGATGTAATGACAGGTTAAACCTCTGCACGCACTAGCTGATGCAATGCAAATCTGAGGCCCAGGACTTTATTGGGGCAAGGGTGATGCTTGTTTAAAAACAAAACAAGCTACTCTGTGTTTAATGAGGCCATTTAAGATGGCTTTCCCAGAGTGGGAAGAGTATAATCTCTTAGGAGGTTTAAGTAGGAGTTTAATGTGGCAGAAGTGTGCTTACAACTTTTCCTGCGAAGTCTTTTCACAGCGGGGAAGGAGAGTTTAAAATATAGTGCCCATAGGAGTAGAAATGAAGTGAGCTAGAATTGAGTAAATATGGTAGTTGATGCCCGGTAAATAGCTGTTGAATGAATTAGGGAGAATGTTTTCACTCTAAAAATTTAGAGTTTGCACGATGAACCAACAGGGAATGTAGCGCCGGTGTGGGCACGCATTTCCCAGATACGCTGTAGCTCTTAGATCGAAACCGTGAGAAACTGCCGATATTCGACTGTTGTGACCTACCGAAAACAGCATGGTTCTACCTAATTTTAAACTGGTGGAAATGCTGAGGAAGGCTCGATGTCGCTGGGGTGGGATGGGGTCAACAGCGGGGTGGCGGGGCCCCGCCCTGGGCTGCGGGGCGGGGCTTGCGGGCACAGCCCCACCCCTGCGCGAGCAAGACGGGCACCGCCCTGCGCGCTGCGCGCCCTGAGCTGGCCCTGGCGCCCCGGGTTGGAGTGGGCGTTCCCAACGCAGGCCCAGCCCCGGCCGAGGCTCCAAGTGGCTCTCCAGCAGGCAGGCTTCTGCAGTAGCCCTTGAGCTGGCTCAGGGAGCGCACTTCCTTCGCAGCGAGCGCATCGCCCCCTGCATCCCCGGCCTCCACCGGAGCTGGGCAGTAGCCTACGGAGTGAATCTGGAGAAGACAAACTTGGGAGACAGACGAAAGCTTAGGGCACACTGGAGGACAGCGCAGCTGTGGCTCCCATTTTTGGAGATGCAGCCGAATTTGAGCTCACAGGGAGGTGTGGTTGCCTCCTGGGGATGGGAAGGCTTCCTTTCTCCACCTCTGTAACTCGTGCTTCTGAGAAGTAAATGGATATTTGGATCCTGACCTCAGACGCGAATTTGGGTCTTCTGTGCTTAGGAGCAGAAAGTGCCCAGGAGGGGCCTGTTCCTTTACTTCTTGGGGGAAACGCAATGCGCGGCCTGACTTCTCATGACGGGAAAGGCTACTCCACCTTCTCTGTACTCCTGGAGGGGAGTCTTGTTCACATGTTTACCAGCGGCCAGGACAAGGAAGAGAAAAGGTATTGACATTAAGAGGATAGGTTGCTGAGGCTATGAAGCTTGAACGCTATTAGTCAGTGGAACCTGTCTGGCTTAGGGAATGGCTGCAGCAGAATCCAGCCGTTTCCGAGGTTCTCAGTCATGTTTCATTTGGGTTGCTGTGCTTTTTTATGTTTAAATCAAACTTCAGGTTACGTCATGACTTCTGCAGGGCTGTCCTTAGTTCCTACTGCAGGGCGGCTGTGTGGTTGGGATTCCTTTTCTGTTTCAAGATGGAGCTGGGTTCCACCCTTGGAGCTTTGAGAGGCTTTAGCAGTTGCTGTCCTGTAATACCTCCATTCACAAGAAATACCGTTCACATTTCAGTTCTTTTTCACACTTTGAATAGGAGTTAAAATTTGTTTTCTATAGTGTTTGGAAAATGGTAAAGATGTATTGTGAGCCTGAACTGTTGATGATAAATGTATAACTATTGCTAGGTCAAGAAATTGTGAACAACAGTGTTTTTCTTGGTCTGTAGCTACATTGTGTTAAATATAAACTGAGTTTACTGCCCTTGGATGTGATTCCTTGGTTTGGTTTAGTAATCTGAAAGGCATTGGTTGACTAGACTGTTTTGTGCCCAAGGAACCACTTTGTAATTGTTATGCTGCTTACTGAAGTAAACTGGGACCATGCAGTAGGCATACAGCATACAGCCAGGGTGTTTTGGCAATACTGAGCCCACTGTTTTACAAGTGACATAAAATGGATGTCATATGTACAAAGAATCTACTCAGAGGGAAACTGGATTACAGGAGAGCTCCTTTATAGTCCTTTGTCAGGGGACAGAACACCTGGGTCACACTGGGCTTCAGATGAGAGTTGATTCATGTTCTGAGTCCGTATGATGAGACACATTATGATGGAATTCTGTCACTTTTGTTGCCTCTTGAACTTTAAAATATCCTTTTAGTGATGTGGAATTAATCTTTATTTTTCCTTCACCCTAAGCCCTCATTTAAGCTATCAGTTGGTAACCACTTGGGTAATCTAGAAACCAAGTTGGATTTACTTGGTCACATTGGTAACCAACATTGTTTCTTAAAAGTTCCCTGCAACAGAATAATGGCTATAATTGAGTTAAAACATTAATTTTGAAGCTTTAATTTTGTAATATGGCTTAGTGGCCAGGCGCAGTGGCTAATGCCTGTAATCCCAGCACTTTGGGACGCCGAAGCCGGGGAATCACGAGGTCAGGAGTTTGAGACCATCCATGGTGAAACCCCGTCTCTACTAAAAATACAAAAATTAGTCGGGCATGGTGGTGGGTGCTTGTAATCCCAGCTGCTTTTGAGGCTGAGGCAGGAGAATTGCTTGAACCTGGGAGGCAGAGGTTGCAGTGAGCAGGCGCCATTGTACTCCAGCCTGGGCAACAAGAGCAAAACTCCATCTCAAAAAAAAAAAAAGAATATGGCTTAGTAGAGGTACTAGGAGTGCACTCTTAGGACATCGACTGATCTTTTTTTCACCCCCAAGACAAATAGTGGCCTGCAATATCCCAGCCCAGGTAGCTTCCTGGGAAAAGTTGGTTGTTTTATGTTTGACTCAGCTTGAGTAGTTACATTGTTGATTATTTCTTCCAGATGACATTTACCTGTTAAATAATGTTGATTACTCTGCTGATGAATGTTTCAGCAACCCTGGAGAACCCTAGGCTGCAAGGGGTTCTTCACTTGTTGACTTCATCCCCCACCCCCAGTATGGTATATTATCTCTGCCGTGCTATCATCTTTATTCTTTCCTTTTTCACTGTCTCTTCCTGACTCTCCTCCTTTGTTCATTATGTCTGATACATATTGTGGATTGAAAGTAGAACAGAAAGATGTACTTTCTCTACCAGACTAAAAAGTTTTGAGATGGCCCTCCATTTCTCCCATGTCTCCCTTCACCTTTGTTGTGTGTTTATTTTTATATTTCTGCTACCTTCACTAGCGAGTACATCCCCTCACTCTTGAGGTGGGCACTAATCAGTAAGAAATAAGATTAATACCTGGCTGATGATAATTTGGGGAAAGACTTAATTAGGTAAAGATGGATAATGGGATGGCAGCAGACCTTTCCCCTTGTGACCCCTCCCCTCATTCCCAAAGTACACCTCTAGAGTAGATAATGGCTTACCATTAGGAAGAGTTAATGGAAGGTTCTCTGATTCTTTGGCATTGGAACTACACTCATCCTGCGGTATCCTCGGAAGATTAGTTCTAGGACCCCCTTCCCCATACCAAAACCTGAGGATGCTCAAGTCCCTGATAGAAAATGGTGTCGTATATGTATGTGCATATTCTCCTGTATAATTTAAATTATCTCTGGATTACTTAATACAATGTAAGTAATACGTAAATAGTTGTTATAGACTGTATTTTAAAAATTTTGTATTATTTGTAAATTTTTCTGAATATTTTCAATCCATGGGTGTGGCGAAGTCCTCAGATGCAGACCGTGTGGATACAGAGTGCCGATTTTATCCAGGACTTCACCTGTAACTCCCTGTACCTATCAATAGCTGACTCCAAATTAGAAAGAAATAGAGTAAGGGAGTCTCAGGGAGAGAGTCCTAGCAAAAGAGATTCGATTAAACTTCAGTTCCTTGTATAGTTTCTCTAGTTGTTTATGGTCCATCTTCTGTTTTAGCATTTATTATTCCATGTAGTCTATCCGAAGACGATTAAGGGAGTTCCAAATGTTTTACGGAATATTTTGAAAAGAGAGCTTATCCAGTGTACAGATCCTAATAAAGTGCACATTCAGTGTAATTTTATTTTTTAGTATGTTACTTTTTAAATTCTATTTATTTTTCTTTCTCTTTTGCTCAGTAAATTTTGCATGAAACTTTAAAAGTACTTCTGGCATGTAAACATTATTTATAAAATAAGTCATGGTTATAATTATTTTTCTCCTGCCTCCTTATGTATTTATTTCAGAAATGAGCCGTCAGACTGCTACAGCATTACCTACCGGTACCTCGAAGTGTCCACCATCCCAGAGGGTGCCTGCTCTGACTGGCACAACTGCATCCAACAATGACTTGGCGAGTCTTTTTGAGTGTCCGGTCTGCTTTGACTATGTGTTACCACCCATTCTTCAATGTCAGAGTGGCCATCTTGTTTGTAGCAACTGTCGCCCAAAGCTCACATGTTGTCCAACTTGCCGGGGCCCTTTGGGATCCATTCGCAACTTGGCTATGGAGAAAGTGGCTAATTCAGTACTTTTCCCCTGTAAATATGCCTCTTCTGGATGTGAAATAACTCTGCCACACACAGAAAAAGCAGACCACGAAGAGCTCTGTGAGTTTAGGCCTTATTCCTGTCCGTGCCCTGGTGCTTCCTGTAAATGGCAAGGCTCTCTGGATGCTGTAATGCCCCATCTGATGCATCAGCATAAGTCCATTACAACCCTACAGGGAGAGGATATAGTTTTCCTTGCTACAGACATTAATCTTCCTGGTGCTGTTGACTGGGTGATGATGCAGTCCTGTTTTGGCTTTCACTTCATGTTAGTCTTGGAGAAACAGGAAAAATACGATGGTCACCAGCAGTTCTTTGCAATCGTACAGCTGATAGGAACACGCAAGCAAGCTGAAAATTTTGCTTACCGACTTGAGCTAAATGGTCACAGGCGACGATTGACTTGGGAAGCGACTCCTCGATCTATTCATGAAGGAATTGCAACAGCCATTATGAATAGCGACTGCCTAGTCTTTGACACCAGCATTGCACAGCTTTTTGCAGAAAATGGCAATTTAGGCATCAATGTAACTATTTCCATGTGTTGAAATGGCAATCAAACATTTTCTGGCCAGTGTTTAAAACTTCAGTTTCACAGAAAATAAGGCACCCATCTGCCTGCCAACCTAAAATTCTTTTGGTAGGTGGAAGCTAGACACATGAAGGTAAATGAAAGGAAAGGCTGTTAAATACAGGAAACAGTTGCATGTAGTAACACTAATATATTTAAAAATAAGTCAACAGTAAACCACTGAAAAAATATATGTATATACACCCAAGATGGGCATCTTTTGTATTAAGAAAGGAAGCATTGTAAAATAATTCTGAGTTTTGTGTTTGTTGTAGATTGATTGTATTGTTGAAAAATAGTTTTTTTTTGTTTTGTTTTTTTGCGTGGGAGTGTGTGCGTGCGTGGGTGTGTGCGTGTTTGGGTTTTTTCCCTTTAACTGACAAGCCATCTTGAGTGGTCATGGGCCACTGCTTTTCCCCTTTGTGAGTCAATACATAGTGCTGCTGTGTGCTTTTTTGTGTGTGTATTTGCTAATTTTTATTAATTTTAGTTTTTCATTAAATAAATTTGACTTTCTTTTCTGTAATTCAGGTTTTTCTTCACTTTTTTTTGTACCATTTTAAAGTTAGTGTCTTTTGATATGCATACTTGTTTATGGTAAAAGTTTATAACATGTGTTCAATATTTTCTTTTCCCCCATTAATCAGTTCATTAGAAATATTTTAAAATCAGCTACTTTGTGAAGCTATGAGTTCCAGAAAGTAAAGGTGACATCGGAAAAATGATCAAAAGCTATTTAAAGCATCTGTAAGATGGTCTCTCTCTTTCTCTCTTCTATGGATGAGTCACACCTTTGAGCTTAATCTTTGAAAGGTTAGAGAATAAATTGATTTTTATAAGTACTGCAAATCAGGCTTTTGTTTCCTTTTTCAAATATCTTGGATAAATCACATGTTTAAAATTTGTTCTTGTATTTATTGGTTTTGCAAAAGAAGGCATCGTCATGCACAGTATTTGTAATTAAAAGCAAATCATTTGTTTAAAAAGGCAGTTTGCAAAAAAATGTTTTTGGTCTTTTATAATTCTCATTAAAAGAATTTCTGGCAAATTAAAAAAATCTTACTGTGTCTGCTTTAGCTCTAAGTTTGATAAAATCCAAAGTTATTTTCCTGTTTCATTCCATACTTTAATTATATAGCAGAAAGCTGTGTGTTGTCATTTTTAAGTGTGGTAGAGTTATACTCTAAATCACAGCAAATAACTGGGTATATGGCTTCTGGATTACAGTCTTTCCCATGCCCTGCCCCCTTGCCCACATTTTGATTCTTACAACTGTCAGGAGAATGACTAAAATGCTGACCACTTTTCACCTCTTTAAAAAAGCACAATGAAATAATAAATTTACTATTTCATAGCCTAGTGGTTAAGAGCCTTGGTTCTGCAGCCAGACTTCAGGCACCTAAGTGCCAGTCTCATTTCTACCCCACTAACCAGCTGTGTGACCTTGGGCCCCAGTTTCCTAATGTGTAAAGTGGGATTAAATTATGGTAGATACTTAAAAAGTTTTAAAGGGGTACAGGTATGTTACCTGAAACAGTGCTTTGTTCATATCAGCATCCCGTGAATGTTAGCTACCATTATGCCTTTAGTACCATGTAGTTAACTGTTGCTAATTACTTTGAGGCACATGGCAAGATTCTGAAATTGCCTTCTGAATGGTGAAAGATAATTTTGTGTGGTTTGTATTGGTACTGTAAGCCTAGAAAGTTAATGAAAATTTGGACTTCACCCTTATCCCACCACTGATTCTGGATAATTTTGGGTAAGAGTTTATTTCTATTATTCATTTTCAGAAAAGATGATTGTGTAGTCTCATCTTTACGTCAATATTATCTTTTGAACTGGTTATAATGTGCTTGTGGAGCCTTTGTTCTTTTGTTTTTTGTTTTGAGACGGAGGCTGGAGTGCAGTGGTGTGATCTCGGCTCACTGCAACCTCGGCCTCCCGGGTTTAAGCGGTTCTCCTTCCTCAGCCTCCAGAGTAGCTGGGACTATAGGTGCGTGCCACCATGCCCGGCCAATTTTTGTATTTTTAGTAGAGACGGTTTCACCATGTTGGCCAAGATGTTCTTGATCTCCTGACCTTGTGATCTGCCTGCCTCCCAAGTGCTGGGATTATAGGCATTAGCCACTGCGCCCGGCCTTGCGTAGCCATTTTTATGGTGAAAGAGAAATAACAGTTCAACCACAGATTTATATTTAGGTCTGTTCATTAGCATATGTGCTTGGAAAAAGCGACTTTTATTCCATATTTAATGTTGTATGGTAAAAGGATTACTTAACAATATGTAAAAGGGCTCCCAATATCTTTCAAAATAAAATTGGCTGGGCACTGTGGCTCATACCTGTAATCCCAGCTCTTTGGGAGGCCACGGTGGGCAGATCACTTAAGGTCAGGAGTTGGAGACCAGCCTGGCCAACATGGTGAAACCCTGTCTCTACTAAAAGTACGAAAAAGCCAAGCATGATGGCACACCCTATTAGGGAGGCCGAGGCAGAACCCCTTGAATCCAGGAAGCAGAGGCTGCAGTGAGCCAAGATTGTATCACTACACTCCAACCTGGGTGACAGACTGAGACTCTTGGCTCAAAAAACAAAACAAAACATATTGGGTATATTCATGGAGGTATATCATTTTGTAGTTTTAGTATTTTAAAGTGTGTTGATTATAAAGTATGTGTCCATCATGTAGACTTTGGAAATTATAAAACTGCACATACAATTGAGATCTATAGTCTTGCTATCCACTCAGAGGTTATTTTTTCAGTTTTTTATGTGTATGTGCATGTGCTCATCCTCTGTCACCCAGGCTGGAGTATAATGGTGCAATCAGCTCACTGCAGCCTCAAACTCCTGGGCTCAAGTGATCTTCCCACCTCAGCCTCTTGAGAGCTGAGAGTACAGGTGTATAGCATCATGCTTGGCTAATTAAATTTTTTTGTAGAGATGGGGTCTCGCTATGTTGCCCAGGCTGGTGTCAAACCCCTTGGGCTCAAGTGATTCTCCTGCCTTGGCCTCTTAGAGTGCTGGAATTACAGGCATGAGCCCCTGACTCCAGCCACATGTTTATTTTCAAAGGTATTGGGAGCCCTTTTATGTACTATTGTGTAGCCCTTTCATCACACAACATGCTCATCTGAGTGTTTCACCACTTTAATAATCTTGGAAGAACAATTTTTGTTTATGAGGATTCACTGTAATTTTAGGTTCTTGTTGGATATTTACTTGGTAATTTATTTTTGGTTATTTATAAACATGAACATATCTGTATGTTTTCTGTGTATAGTCTTGGGATTATTTTTTACATACTTCATCGTTGCTTTCTGGAGAGGTTCCAGAGGACACCAGTAGCAGTGTGAAGTTTTCCATTTTCATTTTCACCTCATGGTTTGCTAATTTAAGCAAATTAAGGTAGTACATTTTGTTTGACAGTTAATAAGCTTGACATTTTAGTATTAACAATTTTCATTTAGGTCTTCATATTCTTAGTCTATAGAGGTAAAATCTATAGCCATATTTCGTGGTCCATTACACATTTGATTTATGAGGCATAACTCTTGTCCTGAAATTGCTTGTTATAATGAAAACTTCTTCCATTTCTTTTGATGTCTTCTCTCAGGAGGCTGTATATGGGGTAGGTATGGGAGATACTCATTAACTTTGTTCTGTTGCTTTTACACCCTTAAACTTGAAATTGTCCTATTTAATCATGGGCCAGTTTGGTATGTTCATTGTTGGGGAACAGTTTTTCCTTTGTGAGCAATTTTTTATTATAATATGTATGATTTTAAGACCCACATTTCTGCAAACTTCAAACATAAGTGGCTGTAGATAGCTTAGCTCACGAAAATAATAGTGCCGCCTCCAACCCCCAAAAGCTCTTCATATTCAGGAACATCTGCAGTGATTCTACTAATGGTAGAATTCTATTTCACACTCCTGATTGGAAGAATTGGTAAGTAATCCAAATTAAGAAAACAGTGGATCAAATTCAGCATACCTGGGGTGTCAGTCTGTGACTGCTGCATTAGAATGGACATAAAAGTAATGTCGGAATTCGACAGGGTGAATAGTGCGTATGAACTACCATGCAGGACTGTGGTCATTTGTATAGATTAAACATGAAAGGTACAGATAGAGTGTTACAGAGATTCGGATTTTGAAGCTTGGTCATTCCCTTCCCCACTCATCCAGTGTGCAAAACACAAAGGATTATTTGGTATTTTACTGCTTATGATCCTAACCTGAATTTACCAAAAGAAATGTACATTTATCTAAAAATGGCACCATCCAAACAAAATTCCTTATCAAGCATCTACTAAGATTTGGTGGCAAACAGTATAGGCTGTAGATTCTAACTGCCTGGGTTGACTTCTGACCCTGTATCTACCGGTTTTTATTTACATACCATCTCTGCCTGGTCCCTCCTCCATAAACGGGTATGGTGTCCACTGCGTAAGGGAATGAGGAAGGCTAGATGTGCTATAAAGTGCTTATTATGCCTGGCACGATACCCCAATGTCTTGCTGAACCAAATATTTTCGCTATTCTTACAAAGCTCTAGAAATTTGACAAAGAAAATATACTTTATTATCATAGAAGTACTTTTCTTAGGCCTTTCTAAATTCTGAAAAGTATAACAGGTTTACAGATATAATGTAGTGAAAGGACACCTGGTTTTGGGGTCACATTTTGACAGCCTTGCACTGTCATGTCAGGATGAGAATTTAGCCTCAAGAGTTTGTATTGCCTAGAAATGTGCTGACGTTACAGTTGAACTTAATACAAAAGATTTTATTAGATCCCAAAATGTTAAACACATTGAATATTCTTTAGTTCATTAAGTACAAACTATAGTATGTTCCAAAGAAATGAATTTTTATGGCAAATAAAGCTTTTCCTAAAATTGTTTTAGAAGTCCTTTTGTTGGTAACATTTAAAACATCTCAATGACCACTCACCAGATTTGCCTGTTGTCTATTCACTCTTTTGATATTTCCTTCCTCTTTCAGCGTTTTTTTTTTTTTTTTTAAAGTGCAATTTTCATTGTGGGATCCACCAAATGTTAGTAAAACAAAAAATGAGCATTAATGTTGCACTATAAATCATCAAATTGGATAATGACTAACTAGTCTGTTTTAAGCTGCTAGATACAATTTTCATGGGGATAGGAACTGAAGTACTTCAAATAATGTGAGCTTAAACGTGTTACTTCTTTGAAACAACCAAAACTACTTGATGTTTAACATCTAAAATCCTGGTTAAAATAAATTCTAGATTTGGAAAGGGAATTGGCAAAACTAACATTCTTTGTAGCAAAATGTCCCTTAGTAATAATAGTCAAGTTGACCTCATTTCAGTAGTTCATAAAGGAAAATCTAAAGCCCTCAGCAGTGAATTACCAGACCACATAGTTGATTTTGGTCACTGTAAATCCAGACAAATCACCTAGTACTGGAAGCTCACGGTGGTAGACTTCACTATCACATTACTTTAACTACGGTCACGGATTTCTCAACTGACGTGAACTATTTTAGGAACAATCACAAAGATGATATTCTTCACTGTGTTTGCATTTGTAACCACCAAGCAAGTAGGGATCTACCCCTGACGCATGGTTTGAGGTAAGGTTCAGAGAGGGACCACTAAAGGGGCAGAGCCAAGTAAAAACATGGATGCCTCCAGTGGACAGTGTAGAATTTCTTGATAAAGCACCTAAAGCTTTAGTTTTAATACTTGAAAAGTTTTAAAAACCCATGCATAAAACGTGGAATACTGGTAAAATACACATATCCCTAGGTCTAGTGAACTAAAATTCCTAGAGTTAATAATTTTCAATAAAAAATCCAGCATAATTATTGTGATACAAGGGGTCTTTGGGTAACATCTTAAAAATGAATGCTAGAAAAAGATGCTCAACATCACTAGTCATTAGGGACATAGAATCAAAATACGTCACAGCCATTTGGAGGGCTATTATAAAAAACCCAGAAAATTAGTGCTGGCAAGGATGTGGAGAAACTGGAACATTTGTGCATTGCTGGCGGGAATGTCAAAT